ATATATATATATATATATATATATATATATATATAATACTGCAAACAGAATCCGCATTGTTTCTTACTTAAAAGTAAGCTTGGCGTTACATGGGAGTAAAGTAGAGAATGACCCACTGAATAGTACAAGAATCAGTTTGATCTCCACCACTCACAGATCCCGGTTAGTGACCACCAACTTGTCACTAGAGAAAATGATTCATGCAATACTTATGAGAATCTAAGAATGTAGTCTGGAACGTAAACTCATTTCTACTTTTCTTCTAATACTACCTGAAACATACATTTCCAATCAAATGGAGCTTGATAACGACAAATAAACTTTGACTGTAACTAGTCAAGCTCTTCTCAGTTTATACTGTACGAACTTAAATACCACTCAGTACGTTCAAGTACCTGATAACGGACATCAGTTTATCTAGAATCCATATAACCCACTACCAGTTGTACTTAATAACGCTTCTTAACCATATGACATGTGAGTTGGTGCAAGAACCAGAACTGAAACCAGCCTTCCCATTGACCACGCATTCATATGACACGACTTTATTCCGGAAATACCATACCTACTCGTATCACCACTCTACATAATTTCTCAACCGTTCATAAATTTACAGCTGAATTCATTTACAAGGATTACTGCAAAATCTGATTCACTGATGAAATTTTTAATTCAATTCGAGAAAAATGCTGATATGTCAACTTCAACTACACCGATATCCACAGGAGAGTTAAACAAATAACGTAAGTGTAAGTACAAATTATACAGAGTCACGCCTAATCCAGTTTCATGATTTTCAAGCAGCGATAATACTTGGTGACATAAGAAAATAATCAATAATCACACGGAATGACATATTCGCTTATTAGTTCTTAACGTATGGCTTCTGGTTTATTTTTCAAGTTTTTGACCCAAACTGCAAAAGTAATAATACTATGACATCAGTTATGATCATAATTAACATTACTACATTACTATACTGCTTTAAAAGTGATATGTATATTAGAAATGTTTAGAAACAACGATAATCCTGTACAATATAACTATATACATGCAGTGAATTCATCCAAGTAATTAGAGAAATTTATAAGGTTCATTTTGAAGGATATATAGTACTGCATTTAATGAAAATAAATGATTAGAGAACAGGAATGACGAAAGAGTCGATCATTCAGAACGTATTACTCAAAATTAGAACTGGTTAGATAAGTCAGGCTAGCTTGGCACTGTTTGACATGAATCTGCTCTAAAAGTTAAATTAAGCCTTCAAATCCGTATATTTAAAAAAGTAAAGATATTGCGAATTTAAACTTGAGAATCAAATGAAAAAATAAAATAAATACTATGAACACCAATATATTTACAGTAAACACATACTGTGACTACTCCTACACTACTGAGTAACAACAAGAATACCTAAATAAGAAAAACATTCACATGTAAAGAGTAACTTTTCACATCCTATGAATACAATTCAGTATACTTGTTAACAGATCGTTATGTACATGCAATTTTTGATGACAGTGATTTTTTTAAATATTTCAATTGATAAAATAATCATATTAAATAAGATTCCATTGCCTACAGATGTTTTAAAATATTAATAATTATGAAAGACGTGAACGTTTCTGTTTGGATAACTTATTAGATATGGAGCTTTCTTTAGCTTTTACCACCGAATTTCTAATATTTAATACTCGCAAATTCTGTACGACTTTTTCCAAATTTGCCACTCGATGTCGTTGGTTTTTATCACATGAAGAATTTTTAGGCTCCACAACATTAAGACGATAAGGATATTTTTTTCCTTTTTCTATTGTAAATGGCTGAAATTAAGGTTTTCATCCACATTCATTAGCATTTATTTGACAGACCTAATCAAACTTTGAGTGCTTTATCAGAGCATGAGTTAACAAAAAAACACAATGCATAAGATTTTTTAACATTTTCATACACTTTGTTTCAATATTTATTTCATGCATACATCATTACTACTGAACAACAAGTTAGCGTCTAAAACTTGAAAGGAACGTATAACATCTTTAAATATTACCGTGAATGTTTTGGGAATTATCAATTCTTTCTCGAACAACGAAAAATTAAGAGGATCCGTGTTGATGCAATACTGATTTTTTGCAGGAATTTTTTCAAATTTTGAATTCTTCCCCATCTGATATTCCACAAAGTACACATCCTTTAAAAGTAGTATATTAAGACTGAATATGTGAAGAAAATAGTATCTTGAAGATTATGTAGATATTCAGTCTATTGTAACCATTATAACTTTAGCATACTGTAATCATTATAACATTTAATAGGCTGAAATAAAATGCTATGCTTCAGATCATAATTTATAAAAATGATAACTTAAATAAAATGGATTTACAAAACGTCAATAATTTTGATGAATATATATTATTTAATTTCTTTTTTCTGATGTAACTCTCATAGAAGTAATTGCACTATATAATGAAGAAATAAACCATTTCTTCATAATGAGGCAATTTCGGTCTTCCTAGAGAATATATACTAGGTTCCAGCGCAAGACAACGTCCAACGACAGCATCAAGCGGTAATGTATCATACATGTTTGTCGCAAAAAGCTGAAACACATTTGTTAAACGAAAACAAAATAAAGAGCCATACTGCAATACAACTTAAAATGCTGTGCAAAAATAAGTGATTTCTATATTGGACGCAGTTTACTACCGTCATCCAGTGAATAAGAGATTTAATCTTCACTTTTAGTAATACAGAAAAAATTTTAATTACGAAAACGATAATTCTACACTGAAACAAAAAAAAAACTAAACATACGACTTTAAGACTAAATTACAATAACCGAAGCAAAACTTTGCAGAAGAAAATAAATAAATGTTCACCTCTTTTTCGTGAAATAATTTCCCAGGTTCACAATAGACTTCATGAGGACGGGCATAATAAAAACCAAAAACAAATTTATGGCCTTCAAATGAGAAAAGACGTTCGACCCGAAAACACTGAACATCTTTACGATGAAACGAGACAGGATAAAACTCCTGATCCGTTTGTTCCTTTTCTCGGACAACTGGAACCACTCTTTTCCTTACAGCGTTTTCTTTTGTGCATTCCACCAACCGACGCAAAATCAGTTTGTGCTGAAAATTTCAAAGCATTGTTTATCGAAGTTAGAGTAAGGGAGGGCAAAAATTTATGAATAAATTCCAATTTTTTCAACTTTGAAAAAATCCTCACATTATCATTTTCAAGCTTTTGAACATAAACCGCTTCACTAAGGCGCACTTGTAAATGTCGCGAGTTTACTAATGTTCGATAATAAGTACAATCTTTAAAATTATAATCAGGTTGAGTACGTAATGGGATAGATATTGCTAGCGTACGTTTGGCACTCCAAACACAAGCAGTACAAATGAAGTCCTTAAATATATTTATGCTTTTATTTCAGTAGTAAAAAAATGATACCAGAAAAAGCTATCTTAGACATAAAGGCTATCTGCTCTACTATAAAGGAGCAAGTAAAAACAAAAACCCTTCAGCACCACTTTTAGAAATATACACACAACCAGATAATAGTATGAATATGAAAAGCATTTTCAATAAAACTTTTCAGTTTTTACTGCAAAACTCTAAACAGCTGATTCTTTAGAATACTAAAAAAAACTTGAGGTACTCATTTCATCGTCAGCTACTAAGTTAGAATGATATCTCCAATCACCACGAGCATTAAAAAAAACCTTTGACCCCAGAAATATACATTTTAATAAAAAAATCATGCACAATCGAGTCCTACTTTCACTTCTTTTGAAGGTTTGTCATCGAAAACACACTCTTCATGAAGCCAAAAATTGCATTCCTCACACTGTATCATTGATCCATCATCATCGGTTATTCCGCATATACATCGTACACAATCGGTATTCGCATCCGCAATACCAAGATATGATAGGCTGTCATGATCATAGGAGCCCACTGAGATCTAAACCCAACTCACTATTTTGCGTTTAATTATTAAAGATAAACAAATAGTCCTTATGTGATAATAAGATTTTGGAATCAAAGAGGCCTCGTTGCAATGCAATGGGTAATGTCGAACATATTTGATGGTCGATACATAAAAATTTATTTTCTATTAGAAGCATAAATTCTGTTAAGCATTTTATAAAACATGAAATTACAATGGACTGAAACAAAACTTACATGAGAATCAAGGTATTTGTAGTCAATTACAGCTGTCAGTGTCCGATGAGGGCCAGATTTACATTTCTTTTGTCTCTGCAGCTGATGATCTGCTCTGCTGATTTTTTTTGTTTGTCGTAAATACTTTGATTTTATTGAAGCATAACTTGAACGCCACATATCTAATTTCCTTCGATCCAAAGGTTTACTAGATTTTTCGATTAAAGTATTTACTTTCATTTCAATAGACTCCAAGACTTCTGATACTGTTTGAATAGCAGTACCATGCCATTCACAGAGCTCCGCAACAAATTTTGCAAATTTCTTAATTTCCTTCGTAGAAATCACTTTCGAATCATTCAGTTTTGAAACAATTTCTTGACAGAGTTGCGTCAAATGCATAGCACCGCTTTCTGCCAACATAACAGATTGTGAAGTCTTTGTACTCTGGTTTCTTGGTCGGCATTCTACATAATTTCTTACTTCAGATTAAGAAAATCTTATGAATTAAGAAAAAGTGCAAAATCTACCTTCTGACATCAAACACATAAGAGTCATAAGTGAATGGATGTATTTCTAAAGCCAACAAAACCAACCATCGACTGCTTACTACTTCAGACTATCTATGTGTGCCCACGGTCAACAAATGCCCTCAACTTGATTAGATTTTTCTAAATCTCCTTCGACACTAAATTTAACACAAACACTGGCTAATACTTCGTAAATTCTTTTCAAAATTTAGTTTTTTCCCAAATTGAAAGTTTAAACTAAACGATAAACAAATTTACACAAATTCAAACTAAAACAAACCTCTCTTACACTTTCTAAGTTTGCATGCTACTGATTTTCGTAAATTTCGCAGCAAAAGTAAATGCGTGTTACGTGCCATCTCTTTTTCTCGAGTATTCATGATTACATTTTTGTTGAGAAAAAGACGACAATTTGGTGCACCACAACAACAAATGGTTACATCGTCAAATTCAAATGCATCCCAGTTATAATCATATGTAAGCTCTTCTCCTTCGAAAATTTCGCGTAAAGCGAATAATCCAATTCGATAATGACCGTTAACTGACCTGAAATCCACACTTTCCTGACACACCGAAATCTACTTGTGTTATTTACCTATAAATTTCTAACGACTAATTCTGATTAATGTAGTCTTAAACTAAATGCGGAGTCATAAAAGAATCATAAGCTGAATTAATTAATAATAAAGCGACCATCGTTGCATTTCACAATTTGGTGAGCAAGAGTGATTGATGAATCGAGCAATGTTTCCTTTACGATATGCGTCAATAACAAAACCTGGACAAAGATTTAGAGCGTAATGATTTTGTTGATAACGATAATCAGTACGAGTTCGTATATTGAATGTTTCTATTGAGACGACCTCACCCATGTATTCACAGATGAACTAAAAATGTGATACTCAAGCGTCTATAATTTCCATTCACCATTATATCAAGATTTAATAAACGGTTTTCAACCAAATAAAAAACGAAAAAAACTCGGGGATAACTTGCACTATTGCATATTAAGAATAAAAACTGTGAAATATTTGAATTCAAATGAAGCAAACAATAGAGCAAAACTATAAAATACAATTTTGCATTCCAGAAGGTAGCAGTAGGACTAGTTCTGCAAGAAAAATCGATGAAATAATTACAATAAATAATCCAATTAATGTACCATGATCGTAGACATCATGTTCCATGAAAAATGATTAAAAAACGTAAATTGCAAATGCTTTGGAAGAGGATTAATCTACTCACAAAAAAGTCAAATAAAACTAAATTAAGCTTACTTGTCCTTTCTCAATATTAACATCTGTTTTAACTCCAATACCACATCCATTTAGCGTTTGAAACGTTCGCAAACGTTCAACACATTCACGACGAAACAATCGTTTATTAGTACACAACGTATTTCGTGGACAGCTGCTACTACATTCCATCTGCACTACTCTGAAATATATGGTAAGATATGAAAATAGAATACATAAACACTTTTTTCACTATAGATTTCGAGGAAATTATTGCACAAAGAATCAAAAACGAATCAACCACCAATAAAAATATTGCATACAAAAATGATAAGAAAAAATAGAATTTTTTAGAAATGGTCCAACCGATTAATACATTTATCATTTTCACCACAGCATCCTTGAGAACATGAGCACTGCATTTGTTCGATTTTGGGAGAAGCATCAACAACTACATCTACAATCACGATGATCTCAATTAGAAAAATATCTTTGCCTTTTCTCATTTCAAGCAAATCTTGTGATGTAGATTCGCATATGTCTAGTTTGAGAGCTTATGAAGCTCTTAACAACAAACTGAAAAACTTTGCAATCTATTTTTTGTTAACATCATGGATGAAAAATAGACGAAGTTTTGCAATATAATATGATTTGCAGAATTCAAGTTTGCAATAAATGAACCTACTTTGTTTCAATTTGATATAATCACTGAGTGAGCGGTGGTTTTTATTACATAATTTGGAAGACGATGGCGCAGCACTAAAATGTTAAATATGGTTTAAGACTAAATAACAAAAGCTTGAAATTAAGAAAAATAGAACTAGTAGTTTTTTAGTTTTGCAATTGAAATTTATGATTTAATATAAGTAATGAAAAACGAGAGGCATTGCAAAACAATTTATCAACGGCTAACTTCTTAAAACTTCTTATAGAGAAAATAACAGTACTACATTTAAGGAAATACATATTAATACTCGAACTGAAAAAGAATTTATTTTTAACAAACACAAAACACTTTCAAGTACTTTCTATTGGTGAAACATTTAATTAGTACTTCGTAGCAAATAAATCAACGTTTCTTGAATTCGACGACTTTCGATCTGCAGCAATTTTAAGCATTTTTAATGAACTTTTATGCCGTGATTTCTCCAGTCGTTTTTTTTCAACAAGTCTATAAAACAATTGCAAATCCTACAATGAATAAAAAGTCCAAATCATTATTCCCAACCTTTATTAACAGCTGTTCTTCTTTCGACTGCCTAAGATTACTGTTTTATCAATTTGTTCACTAAAAATCTGAATAAGCAAATGAAAATTATAAGTTTGACAATCTTCTAATTAAAATCGCTTTTAGTCTTATTTAAATTACAAACCTTCTTGTAAGTTGCTTCCAATCCAAACAGTACCAGGGTAAATCCCAGTGCATCTGATCACCTAAATTCAACTCCAGTTTAGCAAACTGTTGGTCAATTTGTTCCATGACAAGTTTCAGTTGCTGATTAACTTTGCGCTTCATATTCGCATGGAATTCGTTAATCTGATTCATTGTATATTCATCCGTACCTTTAGATGAACAATTAAGACTTTCGCCCCTAATTTTCCGAAAAACTTCTTTATTCTCAACAAACTCTCGTCCACCAACTACTTCTGTTTCTTCAAATTTTTTACTTTCTCTTCCAAATATATATTCTACCCGTTCTTCTTGCTTTTTTCCTTCACCACACACTCCATAATCATTTTGCAAAGTAAATTCCAAGTCACACCACGATTCAAGCTGAAGACTATCTTTCCTTTCACCAATAAAAGTTTCAGATTTCCGCCTTTTTGCCTGCTGGTACAGCTTATCAGATAAATCAGCACATCTACCCATTTTTCGCTTACGAGAGTCTAGCCTTTTCTTTCCAACTTGACTTATTAGTTTAGCTGCTTCTTCAGTGATTTGATCACTTGATGGCTGATTACTGCATGACTGCCTATCTTGAGAAAGCATTTCAATTTCATTATTACATTTCTGTAGTAACGACTCAGGAGGTTTCTCTATAGCGCCGTCATTCTCGTTACTGCCAGAGTTATTATTACTTGCTGAAGTAGCAATCAGCATTTCAGTCGCACTACCGGGAACTTTAGATGTTAAGGTATTGGTAGTGGTTGTTAAGGAATCACAAACAGCAGGATTAGCATCATTAACAAAATTGGAATCCTCAACAGCAACTTTTGATTGAATAGCAGTAGCAAACTGCTTACGCTGTTCCGGATCCATATGGGACATTAACTGCTCCACTAAATCTGTAACATTCATTGCTGGTGTAATTGCTATTTTTGGAATATTGTCATCTGATTCCATGACTTTTTTTCGACAATTTGTCGAAATTTTAGTTTTATGCTCGCGATTTTCATCTTTTTCTGCATCTAATGACGCATTAGTTTTAGTAGTATTCATCTTTCCCACTACAATTTCATTGTTCGATGCCGTTTCTGTTGTCAATATTGTTTCATCAGTAAAACTTGGAGCTACCTCAGTTTCCATTTGATGGAATGGTATTAAACGTGGCATGTCAGAAAAATCATCATAACAGTTCGTCATATTAGTTGTCAGTTGCGGTTCTTTATTTCTGTTAGTGATTGGCATGATCTAAAAACATCTATTTTTTTTTTCATGACGACAAATCATATCATAATTAAATTAACAATCAATAAAACCAAAATCGACTTTCTTAATTCTGAAATTTAAACTTATCTTTCTGGAATATATATTTGTCACAAGCCCAAGTTTTCTTCCCGCACCATCGTACAAAAAATTTTTTTATCATAAGAAATCATTCAAAAAAACTAACAGATGGAGGAGAAATGTATGGTGAAGGAGAGGGGACAGCAGGAGTGAATGGATCAGCCGGTGGAGAATCAGCGATACTCTGAATTCCATTATCCACTGTAGATGAGCAATCAGTTCCAACGTTATAACTGCTTTCGTAATGACAAGATTGCATCCTGCTATTGGTGTCTATCTAAAAATGAAACCATAAAAATCGACAAAAAATCTCCCCGATCTCAGGACAATCTCAGTAATAAATAGAATTTCATGATTACTATGTAGCATAAAACCAAATGATTATTATTTAAGAGAAAACCTTAGACTCATGCCGGCGAAAATAAGGGAGAAAATTAGTTGCATTAGATTTTTAGGAATTGAGTTTAAAAAACTGAAATACAAAATATCAACAAACCTGTACATGAGTTTGATAATTAGTTTGCAATGAAGAGCAAGTAGAAGGACTGATATGTAACATGGTAGGACAATTGTGATAATTATGCTGAGGTGGAGGAGGTGGAGTATTACTACTACTATTGTGCTGTTGAGCATAATGGTTATGATTTATCAATCGCATTTCATTTTTATCAGTTACATGTAACCGCTGCTGTCGCTGCAACACTGGAGGATTCAAATCAATATGATGTGTCATTTCCTGGAAACATCAGAATGGAACAAAATTCTGTAACATATATTCAGTGTAATCAAAAATGATTTAAGAAATAAGGGAACTGGAACAAACATATCTAAGAGTTGCAAGTTATCACCACTATTGCTTGTTTCAAACTATGCCGATAATACCAGTTTTGGAAAATTTAAATTCGATATGTTCTGAAATAACACTAAGAATGACAAGAAATGAAAGCATAAAAAAAACGACAATCACCTGAAGCAAATCAATATCGGATTTGCCTGATGAAAAGCTCTGCGTTATAGACGAAATAGGTGGGAAAAAATTAGTTGTACTAGTGCACGGCATTTGACAATCATATGATTCATTAACGTTCATTTGTGGTACAACCTAAAGCTGAGTTTGAAACTTCTGCCAAAAGTTATCCTAACATCAAAATGAAATCAAATTAAAGTTAACTACGATATCAAAAATAGAATTATGAGTACCTGAGGTGAGGGTGATTCAAATGAAGCATTATTAACATTTGACTGTGATGCAGAATGTAACCAACTATCGGTATTACAGTGCTGCTGCTGTGGCGGTGGAATGTGATGATGTATTGGTGGTGGTTGTGGAGGTGCTGGATGATGTACTATTGGTTGAGTAGGTTGAGATGTCACATGCGTTGAAGCACATGGTGCAGGCTGTATTCGTAGGACACTTGGAACTACAAACTTTGGTGTACTTGTTCCAAGGCTAGCTGACTGCTTCGGAATAGTTGCAGGTACAACGTGCAGAGATTTCGGAGCACTACCAGATGCCACTGCTATTGATGTTGTACTATTCACTGTTGTGCTCGTGACCTAAACATTTCTTGACATATTGCCATGAACTGATATATTTTAATCACAGCTTTCAATTTACGAAAACTGTCTTGAAAAATTGATTTAATGACCTTCTTCACGTTAATAGATTTTTTGAATGACGTTCAAACGTGAATTTGACAGAAGTGAGTATTAACTGCTCAAGGCAAAAAACTGTCTGAATAATATAGCTAATCCCAGCAGCATTTCTTCATAAGTTTAATTGCTTTCACAGTCCCTAGTTCCAGTGAGACGTTCAACATTTCTGATCAATATTTGCCAGAAATTGTAACAGTGCCTCTTTAGAATCAATAACTATCGTATTCGGGTATTTAAACATACCATAATAACTAATAAATTTTGTGGTTAGGTTCAAAAATATGCTTTTGTATGTTCTAAACGTAACTTACGCATCTCCATATCATCTATCACTCATTATTACTGAAGAGAAAATCTTTTTATGACCAAATAAAGATTAAAATCACTTATCTGCTCTTTCAAAGTTGTATAAAATTTAATATATCACAACTATTATGCGAATTCTAATTTCTAAAAAAAACAGAAAAAGTGGAATTTCTAAAAGGAAAATATAAAACTAACTGCTTGAACAGCAGTGTTATTGGTTGATGTGGACTGACGGATTAAGAAGCCAATTGTACAATATGACGAATTGTTTCCATCACTGGCAGCACTACGCAATACACAAGGTACTGCTTCCAAACCCATGGTTGATAATAATAATTTATATTAATAAATATTTTCTTTCACATATCGCTTTTGTAATGAGTATAACTGTAACAATATGAAGTTAAATGAACTGCGAGGCAAAAATGAGTTACGAGAACAGATATATATTAAGTACAAAATCAAAAAATACAGAAATAAATTTATGAGTACGAAATCTATCAGATAATTTGAACCTCATAAAACAGTAATTACAACATTATATACATATAACAATATGACAAAAACGCCAAAAACGCACAGAAACAAAAAATGGAAAAGTTTGAGGACAGGAAACCAACAGTTGCCAGCTGTCGAGCTTCATAAACTTTTTATACAAAGTTTTAGAATGTTTGGCACAAATCACAATAACCGCTATGGATTCGAACTGAGAAATTTCTGGGATCGGTAAGTGAGATCACGGACTAATCTAGAGATATATAACTGGACAAAAAAGTTGAGAAACAAGCGATGCACCACTATTTTGATTTCTGAAAGCTCATTCTTCACATAAATTCAAGCTGATCATTCATCACAATCACAATCCTCAAAGATGCAAAGCGTGTATTAGCAGTCATTAGTGGTAACTAATGAAACAAATCGCTCTAGCTGCATTACAAGTTATTCTTTAAATTTTTATCTCACAGACACATGCAATGCAACAGCACTATTATCTGCTGAGGCTCAAATTTTCCGTTTCTATTCCAAACCAACTTTAATTACTATCATGACAACAGATTCATGTTACATACTACATTACCTACTTGCACCAAAAAATAATGGAGCGGAACTATAATTTTTACGCAAGCTAATGCCGCTGGATAACTTCAAGATAAATAAAAAGGCACGCATTCAAAACTAGGAGATGCGACTGCTGTACAATGTATTTCATCGGGGATAAACAGAGGCAAACATAAGATTTGGAAAGGTGAACAGTTATTAATCATAACAACAGTTAAGGACTTCATAAATGTGAGAATCTTTCGAGTGAAATGCAAACTTACATTATGTCTTAGTACGTGTAGATGAGGGGTGGTAAAAACGAACTACATTTGCTTTTCATTTCTTAGCTTCGGGGCCAGTTTTATTTTACTAAGCTGTTAAATAATTCTTTCTTGAAACTATCTCTTAAATGATAAGTGATAATTTCATTATGTTCAAGCAGCTTCACAAAGAAAATAGTCTCGAAGTTCTATGCGCACACATAGGAAATTGCGGTACATAATCCTCCATTTCACAGATTTGTTTGCTTATTGTAAACAGAACAAGTAGGTGATTAGACAAACAAACAAATGACATGAGCAAATGTGTGACTGAGAATAAGTAAATAAAGCACACTCCTGCTGCCTCCTCAAGATTTAACTACTAACAACTGCTAGCAATACGATGAAGTAGAAGTCTGGCGAAAGCATTCTCGAATTAGTACTCACATACAAACATCGCACACATACATGCATTTTGTTCCAACGCATTCGCATTCAGAAACGATAAAATCATAGCGAAAAGTAGCAAAACAACAACAACAAATGAGCAGAGTAATCTCCTGTTGTGATAACGATTATGACAGTAATTCGCACATAATAATTACTCAGGAGCAATATATTACGCGCATTGGAAAACTATAAAAACTCTGCAATGAAACACAAAGAGCAGATATTACTGTCAAAGCAATAGCCATCACATATCTTAACTAACTGCTAACTAATTAAAAATAAGTAACTATAGAGTTGCGAGACAATTGCGATGATAAACGATTACAAAAAGGACCATGACACTGATAATGAGACTAAACAGGTGCAATACGGGAATAAGGATAAACAAGCAGTAATACTATTGATGATGAGCAATAAGGTATTATTCTATCATTAATATGAATTGAAATTAAAATAACTATAAATGCAATTACAATGATCATGCTATTATGATTACTGCTACCACTAGCAAAACAATAATAATGTATTATTATCAGTGAAATGAAAACAAAAGCGAATTATCTGAAAAAGAATAACAAGAGGAACAAATGATGAGAGCATAGAGTATTGGAGGTGAGTAAGATGCCACATGGACATGATAAGAAAGAGAAGGGATGCTTGACCTTTGCACCTCAACCAGAGAAGAGCATTGATCTTCTCAATATACACACATACACGTCCACATAGAGCCATTCTATTCCCATTTTATAGCAATTAAGAGATATTATTAGTAAATATGACACAAGGATATCTAACTTCTCACTCACTTTCATTTGCACATACATGTATATATTCATATTCATCTCAGAAAAGAGTTATGAGAAAGATGGGAGAACAGCTCTCGCCTCTCCCATACTTGGTTGACAGCACAGCCGTGACAAGACGAAGAGAGCGTGTCTTGCGCTGCGACTCCCAACTCGCTCATGTGACGATGCTTGCGGCTGCTGCAATCAGTTAGTAGTAGTAGTATCTATCTATCCATCTATCTACCTCCTTTCCTCCTTACCGAGCTCCCTCTTGCATTCTCTGAATTTGCTCCTCTCTCATCACTTGACACTTATTTTATCAACTATTCTTCTCCAACATCACTCCAGACGCACGCAACACGCACGCATACCTTACAATATATTTTATTTGTTAAAAGCCATCGTGTGTGCACGTCAAAGTATTTGCACATAACATATTAAAGTAGTGCTATTATTAGCCTATTTCTTTAAGTTTCTCGTACAAATATGACAGTCTTACATGAAAGAAATAGAGGTGAGTGGTTGCTTAACGACCTGTTTATTTGCTACACAAAAGAATTACTCGAATGACCTAATGCATGTGCACTTGTCAGTAGCCGACAATATGGTGACGACTTGGGAAAATATATCGCAGCGATGAAGACAACTTTTGCTAATTAGGTGTATTGCATGCAAAAAATCACTACTTCTACTGTAGTAATTCTTCATCACAATAATCTCACCGCAACCTTTGCTAAGAATTTAGTTTCTTCGCTTTGAATGCTGAGAACAGGGAAAAGACATAGGGAAGTGTCATACCAGAAGTAATCTACTCATTGTTGTTTATGTCATCAATACATCAATTGAAAAATCCTTGAGAAAGCTAAGAAGAATTGTGAGTAACTTGCATACGTTTCCCTCCTTTACAACTGAGTGGTTTTATAGCCCAAAACAACTTGATGACTTGAAACACTTCAGAGACATTTTGACCTATTCAATATATAGTGATTGGGTCCACAAAACACCCAATCCCAACTTGAATTGGAATTGCCGCAAAAATTATGAGATTAAATGTTTTCGTAGCTTGTTATGGTTCGAAACAGCAAAAGAACAAATTACTCGCTCAAGTGATTTGTTACCGCAGTCCATGGCAAAAGGTGTATATGAAACGAGAGGACGTGAATAACGGTACGAGAACCTTTGAAACAATTCAAATTTCTGCGAAACAAACAGCAGCCCTACTGAATTCCTAAATTCATATTGCATGCAACAAGCCTGAAGAGGCTGCTCACCCGCTTCTCTTCCTTTTTCAGAGAAACAAATGTACGGAGTGCATGCGAACAACTTCGCAAGAGACTCACTCTCACACTGTGCCATTTCACAGCCAGCCTGTCTTAGTCGTTTCCGAGCATACACTCACAGCCATCTCATCAGCACTAAATTCACTTAACTCTAATCACAAACAACACTGCCATGTCTCGAGCATAGTAGCAGGACAATCTCACAGTCCACTCACTCATCAAATATCACACTCTACCATTCCTTTTTTCCAGCACTTCTCATTTCTCTCCATCAGAAAATCTAATGGAACCCGACCTCGACCTTGTCGCTTTCTTCTTGTTTATTCATTCACTGCACCATTGTAGCTGCACACTTTCTTCACATTACCTTATCTATGTACACATTTCCAATTCTTCTCTACAAACATATGCACCAATCACTCACCCACATGTGACACACTCTCTCAGTTATTTTTATCTATTCTTTTACTCCAGTAAGCACTTCTGCATTCACATACATTACCTGTAACATGCTCACTGCATTCACATACATACGCTATATTTGCCCACAACGCACATACATCGAGGTGTGCAAAAACAACACACATTGACACACTTGCCGGCCGACATGGATACCCACTGACAGACTAACATAGTTGCCGATATCCACATATACACACCGGCACATTCAAACACCGCCAAACAAAATTATAATTGGTTTCGTGTTTCACTTTCTGAAACAACTCCTACCAGCACACTTCTATATGACTGCACCTCCCACTCATACTTGCACCTTTCCCTCTTTTTAAATTTTTATCTCTACACTTCTTTTCTCTCTCTATTTCTCCTTGTCTTGTCTTCTAGCTGGTTATCCTTCTAATAAAAAATTCGTTTACAAATTTCATTTCTAATATACTTCGAACGTAGGCATGAAGTTGACGATTAAAATAATGACATAAATCATTCTTCACTTTCTACCACAATGGGACATAGGCTTTTCCTGACCACAAGATTCAGCTGAAAAAGTATTGATGAAACGGTGATTGAACTCAGAATCTTATGGAATATATCGGGAGAAGACAACAAGGGAAATTGTCTAAGGAAAATCAAGCATTTAAGGCGAAGCAAAGAGCTATTCTTTCCAACTGATTTCAAGCTTCAGAAATACAACATTCTTTAATGAAGCACATACCTGTGTATATGAACATGTTTGTTGACTGACTTGTAACGTTAAGTTGCATATTCTCAAAACAGGTTCTACTGTGAATGAACTTAACAATCAATCAGGCGATCATAAATATTCACGCGCAAAAATAGACGATTGACAAAAGAGAACTGAAAAAGTAGGGTATAAAAAAGTTTTTGACCAGAATCCTTTGCAGAGATAATTTCGTTCTTTCTAACATTTAAATTCTTAGCTGTACAACCTTCTACTCTGATATGGTTAGAACTATATCTTCACCGCAATTTAGGTAAATATCCCCTTAGTTTCATAGCCAGTAGTTGGAATGAAAATAACAAGTTAGAATAAATGATAGTTCTTTGTTCTTTGGATTTCCATCTTACCGGTGATTTTCCAGTAACGCAACATCAATATCTGAGCATATACCACCAATTCCGAATTTACATGAATTCATTATGGTCTAACCATCTTTCAAAAAGACCAAATAACAAGAATGCACATACTCCATCATTTCAAAATCAGCTAATTTCTGCAGGCACAGAACCGATTAACACATGTCAGTCTTGGCACTTTATTTGTGCCCAATTAAACAGAAATAATGGTTATAGCATATTCTGTAATGCTGGAAGTCTATCTATGTGTTCCTTATAAAGTAACTTGATGATATTATCAATACTTGCTGAGAAAAAAGCGGTTTATGACATATTTTAATCATCAGCAATACAAAGTTGCTTACTTCCAAACAATAACAATTCTGTCTCAAAAAAAAGTGGAAAAGAATCAAGATAAAAAATTGGAATCTCATAAATTTGGTCGCAATTATTTTAGAAGCATCACTTCTCAATACTCGTTTCGCTCCAATTATCATCTAATCATTCTATTTTTGGATTTCGTAACAAAAGTGGCACCACAATTTGTATTATTATTTATATCAATAATACAATCACTGCTAGCTGTTGATAGTTATGTTACTATTATTAAAACTTTGTACCTTTAAGTTAAAGGATGAGGAATAAAAGGCTTCATTTATTGAATACTGTTTTAGGACAACTCACGAAAAATGGGAAACTCATGTCTATTAGGCATTTTCATCATCTAAACTTTTCATTTAATGAATAAGTCTCAGCAACATACTTGACATCGAAAGCTAAATTTTCTGTCTACTCTTGCCATATAACAATCAAGCGATTAAGTAATAATTCTTCATCCGGTGATCAAATTAGCACAATAAAACTAAAATAGATCAGGATGAATTTTTAAGTGACTAAATGACTGACATAAAAAAGTAAGCTTAATAAGACACTGGAAAAAGACTTTTGGTTCATTGATACCTTTCTATACTTGTGAAGAGAAATACAAAATGTTAAGCAAAAGACCAACAAGTCCTATGTGTGCTCTGAAGGTCTTTAAGATAAATGAGCAAAAAGTGCATATCAAATTACGCATATATCACTATCTAATTTCCAATACTGAATGCGTATTTAAAGTGAGCATGAAGAAAAATTTTATTTTCATTACGAAATATTTCTGTGCTTGACGAAGTCAAAGTTCACGCTCTAATTTTTACAAACAAGAAAAAAGTCAATAAAGAATGGTGCAAAATGCATTTATGTACCCTATAAATTTCTTTTAATATTTTTGATAATCAAATCAACAAGTACAAGATCCAGTGATTCGAAACAGTTCACTGTATCAATCATTTAAATTAATTGGTACAGGCTTTAAACTTATCGGCATATTAAGCCTTCTGTTTATTACCAACAGTCAATTAACTACAAACTTCACTTGATCTCGTTATATCCAATTAATTTACTTGCTATCCAAAAACTTGCCTGGGATAAGCTTATCGGACTCTAAAATTGAATATTTCGCTCCTTATAGCACATTCCGTAAACGAACCGTTACGCGAGTGGCAATCTTAAGTAACGAGTATGATTTGATGATTAATAATCATACTTTACTAGAAGAAACGAAAATGGTCAATATTAAACTCTTTTTCAAATAACTTTTTTCTAATTTTCAGCCTACATTATTGAGAAAGAATAACTTTACTCGCCCTATTTTTAAAAGGTTAATTTCGGACAATTAATTGGAATTGAGATAAATTGAATGTTTTGAAAAAACTATCCTACCTACGCTAAGTGGCTGCAAACTGATTTCATTCATCATAAAAGTTATTAAAATTGCATTTTGGAGAAATAACTGTAGTCATGTTTGACTGTTAGCAATCAAATAATGATTTTCAAAAGTAGACAATTGCTAACATTATAAAGAAATTAATGATTAATCACAAGTCATCGATAAAATTCATACTGTGAGAGATGCAGAGTTACTTCTGCCTGCTTCCAAATTTTTTGATTATAAAAGCTATTACCAATTAAAGTGAGATTACTTTTACTGCTAACTGCATTAAATTACTTCAAGAAACACAAGCCTTCTAATATTTCCATAACATGGCAGAAAATTTTAGTGCAAGATGTTGAAAATGAAAACTAAAAAATAAGCCTTGAAGACATCATTTCGACGATTTATTGAGACCTCATTCACCTGTTCACTTAATAAAATGCTAGTAGTAAAAATATGCAGTATCTAGTATCAGTTCAAGAAACTGTTATCTCAAGTGTTGAGTGCAAGTGCAAGTGCAAGCTGATTAAGTGGACTCGGAAAGTGAAGAGAGCCTTCCGTAAATAACTTATACTCAAAAATTATTCATAAGACAGAAGAATGGATGATTTTCGATAATATTTACTTACCGACTGCAAACCATCTGATTCGCATTCAGTTGATTACAATCGTCACATTCTCTATTTCTAAGCATCAACAATAGCTTCCTCCTTGTTAATAGATTACCTAATAATGCATACTCTCACACCCACAGTCACATACTAGAAATGGTACTCACTAGAGCAAAGACTTGTTAATTCTGAATCACAATATAGTAAGAATAGTAGGGAGTGATTAATAGTCTTCTTTGTAAACACAAAAGAGCCGAATTCTCAATTTTGCTTTCTATACGCACGACTTCTCAATTCCGAGCTTATAAACCATTTTGAGAAACGCAATTCATTAGCAAAAGATGGATGATGTCTCAAAATTAGCATTTAAAATGATTTACTGCCAGCAACTTCATGCTTGAAATGCTTTGCTAGGCCAGGAATAGCATCCTCTATTCACCTGCTGATTTGAAATGAATTAATATACTTAATCTTTCATTTTTTGTCCTCCTCTTACTTTACTTAAATTTAGTACGGATTTCTGCTTTAGCACGAATCACTTACTACACTTTATTATCTTTCAATAAACAACCTTAGAAATAATTGTAGTATTAATAATAGACAATCAACCCTAACAAAATAAGAATGAAATACATTATAAACACTAATTACTACCACTGAATCAGAACTTTGAATGATTTGCTGACCGAAAATCAAAGATTATGAGATTATAATTTACACATTCAAAAATAAATTAGCGAGATTACTTTTTCCCCATCCTTCGTTTCAAGCATCCTTTATTAGTGTCGATGAAAGAAAGTTTATTACCACACTGGTTAGGATGGAAAGTTCTTGGATTAATAGGTTACTAAAACGAGAGCAAAGGTTACGTATTATTATTATATTTCTTGCCTCCTTTGCTAAACAATACTTTCAAAATCCATGCCGAAATGTAAACTCGTTTCTTTCTCAATGAAATTGTAACCTTCCATTTTATTGAAAAGTTGAA